TGCGACCTTGGCGGCCTCTGGTGTCTGTGGGAGCTGGGCGAGCTCGTTGGCAGCCACTGCTAGATTGGCGCTTGGAGTCTTGTAGACGTCGTGGCCGTCAACACGGACAAACTCGTCATCGAGATTGCATTGGAGTGGCCTTCCTTGCGAGTCAGGTTGCTGCTCGGCCATCGCAAGGGTGACCTCGTTTGCTCGGTGCTGTGCTCGGTTGACGTTTCAGTTCTCGCGAGCGGCGCGTTCCTCCTCGGTTTCACCGTTTCCGAGGGGTCTGTCGACGCTAACGTTCAAGATTGCGCCGCCGTGGAAATGAGGGAGAGGAAGTAGCTCGGTGGTGGTTTCGGCGGTGGTCTCCATAGAGCCCTGGGACTCAGAGTCCGGATTCTCCTCCAGGATGGTTTGGAGGGATGCTCCGGGGCGTCTGCCGACGTGCAGCATGTTAACGGCCGGTGGAGGCTGGTCGGCGATTTAGTCGGTGGGAGGATGGACATCTCTAACCTGATCGGCGAACATGCCCCTTAGGGCATCTTGGTAAGCGGCATCGACATTGGTGAACCCGAAGGGTAGGGCCGTAACCCTTGAAGTTTCCCGAGTAGCCTCCGATAGATCTGGATCGGAGGGTGGTCAGGGCTGAACCAGAGTGTCCAGAGCCGATTCAGCGATGGAGAGACAATCGGCGAGCTTCTAACCAGCCTGATCGATGGATGCGATCAGATCATCGTTGTTGATCTGCCTCCTCTGGTAGCGAGGAAGCGAGCGGTGAGTTGTCGATGAAGGCGACCTCGGAGGCGGTTCCGAGATCAGATCTGTAGTAGCAGGTGTTGGGGTGATCGGCACAGAATCGATCTGCACCAGCTTGATGAGCTCTCCAACTCCATCAGTGTTGATAATCCATGAGATCGATCCGACCGTGAAGATCTGGCTGGGCTGCGGGAGGGACAAAGAGCCTACAGAACGTACCATCTTGTTCGATATAGAAACAGCACGCACTCCCCTACCTGGTGCGCCAACTGTCGATAGAATATCGTCGTCAGTCCTCCGAGGGGTATCCCATGAAGGTAGATTAATCGGCAGAGAGGCGTGTAATCAAGAACAAGAAGGCAACAAAGACATACGAGTTAGACAGGTTTAGGCCATCAGTATGACGTAATACCCTACTCCTGTGGTCTATTGGTTTGTATTGGCTATCGTATGATATTGCGTGAGTTTGGAGGAGGTCCCTGCCCGCCTTATATAGTCCAGGGGGCAGGGTTACAAGTCGGTTAGATCTGAGAGATAACCGGAAAGTAATAACATATTACAGGAATCATGAGATCATACGTCTCCTAACAGATCTCGTAGCATATTCAGGATATCTTCCCAGTATCTTGCGGGAGGCGCCGAGCAGAGTCGTGCACCGCAAGGCTTCATCTCGTGGGCTGGGCCGCCCCTGGGGGCGCAGCCCATGTGATCTACCGTGGGTATCCGGGGTCGTACCCCCACATATCCTCCGAACAAAATTTGGGTTCCATTTACTATCCCAGTCCTATTTTCTTTGCTGGTCCAAGCTATCCATAGTAAGAGCATTTTCAAGAGTTTCTAAACACCACTGCTAATCTTAATTTTTTTTGGCAAGATTAAAAAAATTGCTCTCCAACCACTCCCAACCTCACCTCTCAATCTTTCCTCGCTTGGGAAAATAGACCTGATTGTGCCAAAATGTAGGCATGCCTGTCGATGGGCCAAGGATGTGTGGGAAAGAATAAAAAGTAGGATACGGGTTCTCAATGCAAATATACACGAGAGAAAGAAAGATTAAAATAGTTTGGGTGATTTAAAAAATAGTCTAGGATCCCTAATGCAAAATTGTCTTCTATATGTTAGCAGTAAGATTTTGGAAACTATTGAAAAAACTCAACAAATATGCTCTCAATATTTCTTTAGCCACTTGGAAAACTCACTGATTTACCAACTGTTTTTTTAACTATCGGAGATGCTCTAAGATATGTCTTTTTTTTTCTTTGTGTACAAATTAACAGGTTTTGTTAGACGACATGATTTCCAATTGTAGATAATAGATTAAGATTTTATCGGACTATGTAATTAACCATGATATTTTTATATTTAAAAAATTGTTGATGATATATATAAGAATTGACATATCAATAATTCAATTAATATTCTCATTGCATTTGAATAGATTTTCATACACACTTGCGTGTCACACGTGCATATTTGCTAGTCATATAAAGACTTGACAATTTCAAGTTGCACAGGAGTTATTCATACAGCCCATGCAATTCCACGGGTCACCCAGCTAGTTGGGTTAAACTGGAAAAAATCGTGATTATTCTTTACCGCTGCACAACGTGAAACAGTAGTCAGCCTTTATAGCAGCTCTAATAGATCTTTATATCCTTTCTAATTTGTAGAAATAGAGATTTTGGTAAAAACACTCTAACAATATTTTTTAATTAGATATCTAAATATAAACATTCTCTATTTCTGATTTGGAATTGTTGGCACCCGGACGTCCGATCGGATACCCATCCGTCGGGCGGTATGTTGCCCGTGCCGATTTGGTGATTCGTTTTTCACACGCGCCTGCACTAAGGACGCGTTTGGTTTGTTTCTCCACACGGCTTGGCTCGCTCATGAGATACAGGCCCGCAGGAGCCAGGCTACGGTGATGCAGTGGCCGTTCGTTTGGATGTCTGGATCAGCGGAGCCTGGCCACACGCAACATGTGTTTGGTTGCTAGAATCGCACGCAAGGACCGGTGTTTTTCTGCTCTGCTAGCGCTCCCCACGACTCACGTGAGCCAGGCCGCCAGGAAATGGATTTCGTTTTCGTTACTCGGGAGCCAGGCCGGGGTAGGAAGATTGCATGCCATGGGACAGGCCCGAACCGAGAAACAACCAACCAAACATAGCTTACTCGCATCACTGGCCAGGCTGAGGGAAATACAAGCAACCAAACGTGCCCTAAGTGCCCGTGCCAGCACGCCCCCACCCGCGCCTGTGTTTCACACGCCCAAGCGGGGCCTGCGTCGCCCGGACGTCGCGTGCGTCGTGCGCTCGCGCGGGACCATTTGTGCCCCCTCCCGCTTCCCACGTGCATCTCATGTGCAACACCCCGATCTACTATTGATATTTCATGTGCAACACCCTGATCTACTATTAAAACATCCAGATGTAATGCTTACAACATACGTCTAAAGATAGATGAAACACTTAAAACATGCTATGAAACACTTGCAAAAATAATTAAAAACCATTGCAAACATACGCAACATGTGTGTGAAACATATGCAACATTCACATAAACACACTTGCAACATACGTCTGAAAAACAGATGAAACATTGGGATAGATGCTTGCAACATATGTGTACAACCATTGCAACATATACAACATCACAAATCTACTTTTGCAACATCTATATGAAACACTTGCAACATACCTTCAAAACATCTAGAACATTTGAAATGTACGCTTGAAACATGCATCGTATCCCGGTGCAACCTCCGCCGCCGTCTGCATCGGGGCACCATAGCCGTAGCAGGAGGCGAGGCCAGAAGACTTCCACGCCAAGCCCCGACGCTTCTTCTTGGGTCGGACGGCGCCTGTCGACACATCGGACGTGAACATGCACGTGACGATTTGAATATTTTTTATGTTTTGTACCCTCATATTTCTAAAAGTTACTCTCTAAAGATAGAGAGGGTACAAAAACATATAAAACAATTTTTATTCAAATGACTCTCTAAATGATGATTTATAGAGTAACTTTTACAAAGATAAGGGTACAAAACATAGAAAATATTTTTTATTTAAATGACTCTCTAAATGATAATTTGATAGTACCTTTAGAAAGATCAAGATGCTCTTATTCAGCTATATATGGCATTGACGAAGCTAGCCGCATGAGAAAAATTAGCCATCTACGCAGAGAGGAGATGCTCACGGCGGGCCTTGAGGGCCGCGAGGACGGCCTATTTGGCGAACGTTCAGCCGTTCGTTGGTGAGCGATCAAAATTCCGACACATTCACTTTCTGTTTTAGGAAAAGAAAAATCATTCCCATAGGTACAGTTCTGTGTTTGCATGCTCCCGCGCTACGCCGAGCAACCACTCCCCTCCTTTGCTCCTTTTTTTTTCCTCTGGCTGTGACATCAGCGTGGGTTAAGGTAGAAAAAAAGCAAAACATTTATTTTAAAATGCTATAATTTCTGAACGGTGTATCTATTTTGAATTCCGGCTGCACCAGTACGTTCTACGCGAAGAGGCGAACAAAGCTAGACCACACTTGAATATGTTTCGAAGAATTTCATTCTAGTAAAAATTTATGTGTACTAACTTATACATATAACTTATGCAAAAACTTAGAAACTCAAGAGTTATGAAACACAACTTATTTAAAACAGTTATTAAATACAAAAGAACGAATTAGGTTATAACTTATGCCAAAACTTGCAAATACTAAAGCTATTAACACACAAAGGAATAAAATTACTTGTAACTTATAAAAAACTTAGAAACACAAAAGTTATGAAACACAACTTATGTATAAAAGTTATCAAACATAACTTGTGTACATAACTTATTCTATACAAACTTGTGTACATAACTTATTCTATACAAACTTGTGTACATAAGTTATCCAATACAACTTATGTCCATAAGTTGCAAATTATAAGTTATGTGGTTATAAGTTAATCCATATAACTTGCCAACGCTGCTAAAAAGATATTATAGAAGGATAAAACATATAGAAAACGAAAAGAATACTAAAAACAAACATAAATAAAAACAAAAACAATAAGAAAAAAAAGAAAATAAAAAGGTAAAGGGAAAAAGTAGCTAAGATGGCTCGCTGGAGCATGGCTTGCTCGACCTGCTCCGTCTCTATGCGCCGACGGCCAACACTTTCCTAAACATGCAACTAACAAGCTAGGACTGGCAGTCACACAACCCACTAATCGTTCGCTGAGTTGAAGGCGCGCGAGCGACCGTGGTAATGGAATTAGGCTGTGAGGAGCCTGTCCCTCTCGGGCAGGGCCGCCTTCACCATGTCAAGGGCGAGGAATCGGTTAAACCAGGCCTTCATCAGCGACAGCTCCTTGTCGGTGACGACGCTAGCGCTGGACACTTCCTCGATGACGGGGCGCCAGTGTGCGCACCAGCCGACAACGATGTCAAGGTAGCCCACGGCGTCGCCGCCAAAGAACTTCTTCCCCTCCAAGGCCGTCTCTAGGGTCTAGAGGCATTGCTGGGCCTCGTGCACCGCCTTGCACTGCACCTTCCCGGTCTTGGTGAAGGTTTGGTGCAGAGCAGCGTAGCACTAGAATAGAGAGACATCAATCCTGTCACTAGAACGGGTCCTGCCCTGCATATAATAGAGTAATGTAGCTGCAGTTTGCTCGTACCTTCTCGTCTGTGAACCTGGCCCAGAACCTCGCCTTGAACACGGTCGTAGGGGTCGGCCGTCATGATGGGGTAGCCGCCCTTCTAGACCTCATCGATTTACTCGACGATGATAGTGGACTCCGCGATCGGCTTGCCGTCGTGGACGAGCACGGGGACCTTCTTGGTCACCGGGTTGTAGCGGAGCAGGTCGACGCTCTTGTTGGTGAGGTCCTCGCTGACGTACTCGTACTCGACGCCCTTCAGCCGGAGCGCCCACTCCACCCTGAGGACATTAGGGCTCGCCCACATACCGAACACCTTCACACCCTTCTCGGCCATTGCTGGAGGCTAGAGCTCTGGCTCTGCTCTTCTGTTGCTGGTGCTGCAACTGCAATAGATGGAGAGATCTTGTCACCTTATAAATGATAGGTCAGGAAGCCTTCAGAAGTCAACAGTAGGGTTCCGGGTCATGACTCACGATTGCCTTGTAAGGAGTCCATGCGAATTCGTATTATTTACTGGTACTATGTAGCGTGCCCGTGCGTTGCTATGGGATAACTAACAATTTATACTAAAAACACACGGATCGCACGATAAGATAACAATACCGTTAAATTAAATACAAACATTAAAGTAACATTTAATCCAAAAAGCAAAGTTTATAAATTTAACACAGTCACGAAGTGCACGGCGGCGCAGGCTCACAAAATCTAGAGCTTCCAGAGATTGAGTCGAATCCAACCTAGAGCCTCGGAACCCTGCATCTTTTCCTGGACGGGTTCACTTCGGATGCGCCGATAGCAATATCAACAATCTCCAATCGATGGACCAAGTCGTATGGATCCCCATACAATGGCTCAAACATGTAGATTTTGTTCTTCTTGTACTTGGATACACTTGTTCCACTAAAGTTTTCATTGAAATGTTTAGACACGAACAGTGTCTGATCACCGATGTCCCTCATCCTGGACCACTCCGGCGTACGATCATGGAGGTTGCACTTGTAGATCACGCTGTTGTAGGTGAAGCTCTGTGTCTCGTGGAACGTGCTCAACATGGCACCCACAATGTGCAACTCACCGTTTGATTCCAGGTAGCTGCGGTGGCAGAGCCCCACAGGTGGCGACAGCGATGGCAGCAGCATCACGGTTGGAGTAGCGCCGGCAGCGTTGCTGCTGTAGACAAAGATTTCTCCAGTGCAGTCGATCACCAAGAACTTGTCTTGGCAGTGGACGATGGACCCCACGGAGAACTCCAGTTTGGTGTCGAGCAACGTCCATGCGATGTCGACTCCAACCCGGCAGAACACGACCTCTGTGGAGCACCCAAGCATGGCCATGGCCACGCACTCGCGGCCGACGGTGGCAGGCGGCGCCGAGAGCACGATCTCATGGAAGAACACGTCCCTCATGTCTTCTAGCTTGATGGCTCTGCCTATGGCATCCGCGTCCCCATAGCCGTTGGTGGGATGGAGGACCCACCGGCCGTGGACCCTAGACACGTGTTTCGATGAGGATGTCGCCGCGACATGTTCGTCTACTGGCGTTAGCTCAACGCGGGGGCACGGGCATCGGCGAATGGATTCAACAGCATCACATACTCCGCCTCGTCCATTAGTGCCAGCCACCCACACGAGGAGCCGCACGCCACCATGCCGCGCACGTCAGGCAGCGTCTTGGACAATACCTTCTTCTCCGGGACGCAGTAGAAGCCGACGCGGTCCGAGTTGGGGTCGAATGAGAGCAGCAGGAGCGACCCGAAGGTCGCGAATGGGACGGCGGCGCGCCATGGGGAGCAAGCGGATCGGAAGGACGCCGCGTCGTGGCCTGATGCGAGACGTTGTCCGATGGACTCGAGGAGATGCTCTGGCAGGCCGGATCTCCAGTCAGGGAGAGGTAGGGACATTCTCTTGGGATTGGGAGGTTGAGCAATGGAAGACAGATGACATCAACTATGGTTCACGCAAAAAACAGCAAGCGAGGGCGATGGAACACGTGAGCGTGAAACCAAATGAAAGGAGCAAAAAGTTGTCCCTTTTTGCAAATGCAAAGAGGGAAAGTAAATAAATGTAGACATATTTGGCAAGGTTCTCATAAATACAAAGATGTTTCTTTTGTCTTAATCCTCTTTCCTTCTGCTCGTTGCCATGTATGCTGGTGCATGCAAACATGCAATGTGTATATGGATAGCACAATAATTTTCTACTTCCTATTTTACCGTGATTCCTCTATCACACGACATGCAATATTCAATCAAGGAGAATGACACGATCAATCAGTAATTAAGATGTCGTGGGATCGTAGGCGTGGACAGACGAACGAACCAAAACAAATATCGCACAAAAAAAATATTCATACTTTATTCTTTTAAGCTGTAGGAGAACAGAAAGACAAAGACACCAGAGTAACGTATTACCACGTTGGAGAATGATATAATACCCAACCAAAATAATCTTTTCTGTCCAGTTTGGTCTTGGACGAATATCATTGTTAAGCCAAAATCAAGACGTTGTGTTTTTGTTCACGTGTAGTTAGAAGTCTCTAGTAGAAACTTTTTCTAGAATTTTCGGATTAAACAAGATTAACATAATCAGATTCCTCGGCCTTTTAGAAGTCCTAGTGGACAAGCACGTGCCACATGCACATGTTTAAGGTTACGATATGTGATGTTATACTTTTATAGGGAAAAAATCTCATAGATTGTAGGATACTTACATTTGTATCGTTCCTTTTACGCATTATATTGTATTATAATTTTTTATAGTTCTTTGCAATGATTATTAAATTAAATTAACTAATTCTGATAGAGATTTTTGACACATGAAACTCGATGATGCTTGTGATAAATGCTTTGCTTAAGAGATGTAGGCCTTGTTGTTACTAACACCAAAGTTGCCAGAGCTTGGTATTTATGTTAATAAGTTTTTATACTACTTGAAAAAATAATGTGCGCCTATAATAGGATCCAAGTATTATCCAAGGAAATATAAATTAGTTAACAATAATGATTCTATGAGCACGTCCGTCCCCAACTTGCGTCCGGACGTGGCCCCCGTGACCCCCCCACTCCTTATCCCATCCCGTGTCCCACCCCACTCCCCCGCGCCTAGCTCGCTGCCGCCCCGCCCGCCCGCTCTCCCAGCGACCCGACTCCCTCTACCCCACCGGAGACGAGGACGACGGCGGTGGCTCCAACGATAGGTTGGTCCTCCTCTGGATCTAAGCCCTCCTCCTCCTCCTCTGGATCTGAGCCCGGCTCATCGTCCTCCTCCTCCTCTGGATCTGAGGGACGCGGTGGTGGCTAGGGTTCCGGCGAGCTCTGGGTCCTATTCCCTCCTCCCTCCGGTGAGCTCAAAGGTGATGGGCCAGGGGCTGGAGCAGCCAGCACCTCGAACCCATTCCCTTGCTGTTTGTACACTTTTTTTGTGGTTTCTCAGTGTTGCAAGGGGGATTTTTTGAGATGTTGCAACAGATGATTTTTGAATGTTGCAATAGGGCGATTCATGTGTTGCAGAAAAGGGAGTTCTAATGTTGGGATTGTTGTAATAGAGGATTTTAATGGCTGAACTTATTTCTTTTCAAATGTTGCAGAGGTGATTTTGAGTTGTTTCCATTTTCATGTTTCATGGTTTGATTTTCCGACGTTGCAGTACTACTGTTTCAGATGTTGCAGTACATAATTTTTTGATGTTGCAGTACATATGTTTTGATGTTGCACTACATAGTTTTGCGATGTTGCAGTATTTATATTTCGTGTTGCACTACATATTTTTACGACGTTGCACTTGAAGTGTTTCGTGCTCTTGGGACAGGGGCGCGGTGGGGAACGGGGCGCGGTGGGGGAACGGGGAGTGGTGGGGAACGGGGATAGGGGTGCGGCCCTTCCCGTCGCCGAGGAGGCACATGCATTGGTCGCCGTGGAGGCCGCGGGGGTGTGCAGGCGCACGGGGAGGGAGGTCAGCGCGGTCCGCATCACCATCTCGTGCCCTCATCGGTCATCGCGGTCGAATCTGCGTGGGACAAGGGCGCGGTGGGGGACAGGGGCGTGACAGAACAAGTACGATATGACCTGCGTCCGGATGCCGCTAGGGGGCCGGATGTCCAGGCAGCTAGGTATGTGTCGATGCGGGACCCACAGGATACCCCGCAAGGGAGAGAGAAGATCTAGTTCAACTAGGATTCTTCCCATGTAATCTTAGTAGTAGAACTATTAAGTAATCCTACTAGGAAATCTCATTATAAACCGACTAGGATTCTGGCCTCCTAACTATATAAAGGAGGGCAGGGCTCCTGAGAGAAGAGGACGACAATTGTACAACATAACACTTCATAATCAATCCAACGCAAAGGCTAACGCCGACTGGACGTAGGGTCGTTACTCGATCTACGATCGAGGGCCTGAACCAGGATAAATCGACTGTCTCTTGCGTTTACCATCGAGTTCAGCATACGCCAAAGCCCGAACATATCGCCTCGGTACCGTGGCAAAGCTATCGATGGTGAACATCGACAAACCGGCGCGCTGTAGGGGCCCTCGGCGCTTTGCGTTCGAGAGCTCGGTGGACCTCAAAATAAAGATTCGCCGCGACCCTCGTCGGCCTTGTCGACAACTCGCCGCGGCTCTCGTCAACCTCATCGATAACTCGCTACGGCTCGGAAGACGCCAAGATCAAGATTCGCCGCGGCTGTCATTGGCATCATCGACAACTCGCTGAAGCTCATGTTCTCGACGACGTCCTCGTGCATCCAATCGATCGTTCAGCCGCCACTGGAAGGTGCGCGATACACTAACAAAGAACCCGACGTCCCGAGGCATGGTGCAAGCATTTGGGTGGTACACGGAGCCTTTGGAGGACAAGTGCAAAGCTGAACTAGAATCACTTCGGTCCGATCACGGTGCCAAGTCCGAATAGAATAAATTTACTCAACTCGAGGATGATTCAACTCCATCATGGACAACCTATCCGAATGGGACACAGAGCAAGACGACATCAAAGTGATTCATGAGAGAAAATATGGGATGACGATACATCAAAGAAAGCGACAAAGATTCCGTACACAAGCTAATACAATGTTTAGAAGCAAGCACGCATACAAGTCCTAGGGCCAACTCTATCCAAGCCGAGTAATCTTGTATCAAGCAAAAAGTCCCGGCATCGGATACAAATTCTACTATGACAGACAAGACGACATCCATCTCCGCTCAAAGTACATGCAAAGGATGCTACAAGGATGACACAAGCAAACAAGCTAGCCAAAAGCAATGAGCGTATTAATATTTGGTTTTTTCATATACGCGTATATATGCAAATATACATGGAGAAGGCACATTGACAACTC